CCCCCCCAGTGGGCTGGCCCGGCCCTGCGTGTGTCCCTGCCTGCCCATGCGGACACGCTCGGCCCCGTTACACCGCTCAGTGCCAAACCACTTGCAGCCTGTGGGGCTGTGGGGTCGGCATCTGACCTGGCCAGGAGCCACCATCCACCGTGGGGGCTCAAGCTGTTGGCCCCGTGCCAGGATGGGTCCGAGCTGCTGTAGTTTCTCCTGGGTTCTGTTACAACTGCTGTATTTTCATGGTTTCCTACAATAAACTGCAATGCCAGGAGCTTTGGCCCCAGGGGTTTGAGGCTCTGGCTGTTTCCTGGGGCCTGTTGTTGAGGCCAAGGGGCCGGGCTGTCCTTGGGACTGTGGCCAATAGTGGCCAAATCTGCCCAGGGCAGCACTGATGTGTCTGGTATCTGCTGGGACCAGGGAAAACCCCCTTAACATTTGGGGTTCCCAAAGGTGGCCGGTGCACCTGGGGGGCTGCTGGGGCATCCTCTCAGGGTGGGTGATGGGGGCTGGACCCCTCACTCAGGTACCCAGGGGAGCAGGGTGGGCCAGCAGAGGAGTGACGTGTGGGGCTGGGTCCTCCCCCAGGCAGGCACCTGTCCCCAGGGAACACAGGTCCCCCCACTCACTTGTCTCCCTGAGAAATAGGCAGCTTCTTTGTAGGGCCCAGCCCTGGCACCTGTTTCAATTCCTGCAGGTCCTGCCCCGGGATTGGGGGCCAAGAGGGTGGCCATGCAGCAGCAGCCCCACACAGCCCCTCTGCACCCATGGGACCCTGCCCTGGACACACAATCCATCCCCTGCTGGTAGCAGATTTTGAGGGGGGCAGAAGGTGACACTGCCACCACCAACCCCCCCGCAACCAGCACCACCCCCACTCCTCCAACCCCACTTGGCTGTTCACATGCAGACAAAGATGCCCCCCTCTTTACACCAACCCCACAGCTCCAGCCCCAATTCCCCCCCCCCCACAGCCCCTGTGGCCCTGAAGCCTTTCAGTCCTCCCCCAACCCTCCCTGTAGCCCCCCATGCCTGCAGCCCCCCAGTCCCATAGCCCCCTGGCCCTGCAGCCCCCCACCATCCTGGCCCCACAGCCCTCACACCCCACACCGTGCAGACCCTGCAGCCCCCCAGCTCCCCAGGGCTGGCCGCCTGCTGGGTTTCACTGTTGCTGTTGGCAACTGGCTCTCAGCAAGGCACACGGAAAACCAAAAGCAGCAGAGACCCCTCCCCTCAGCATCCCCAACTCCCAGCAGCCTCTGGAGTTGCATCATCCCCTTTCACCAGGCAGCCCCTCCAGCATGCCCCAGAGTCCCCCTAGCTCCTTGCCCACACCATGGCACAGTCCAGGTGCAACTCCCAGCACATGCCTGGGTCCCAGAGCCCACATGCTGTGCCCGAGGCACCCACCAGCCCCCACCAATCCCCTTCAGCCCCCACTGCCGGGCCCAGGGCTGGGTCCCAGCAGGGCGCTTGGCTCCGTGCCTGAGCCCACACGGAATTTCATTGGGGCAAGTTCATTTCCTTGTATTTCTGCCTTTTCAGCAGTTGCCAAAAAGCCTCCCAGCCCCCAGTGCAGGCCCATCCCAACCTGCTGGGGTTTGCTCCCCTACCCCTACTCCAGGCATGGCCATCCCAGAGGCTCATACCCTGCCACATGGCCCCATTCAGGTGCCACCTCGGTCTTGTCCCTGCTGGGGCCACCCCACTGCCCCTCAGCATGTCCCACAGCCCTGCCCCACGCCCCCTCCTCCTGGCAGCCCCCAAAGCCGTTTTGGGGCTCACACGGGGTTTGGGGGATCCTGAGCCTGGAGCAGACAGGGGACAGGAGTGGGAGCAGTGAGGCAGAGCCAGGCTTCACCCCGCAGCAGCACAGCCCTGGCAGCACCGTGACCTTCTGCTGGCACAGCCGTGGGATAACCGGTTGTGTCAAACGAGCCTTGCTTGCTCACGAGACAGAAACCGAGAGTGTGGGATGTGAGCAAGAGGGACAGCGTGGTGGCAGGACACGGTCACACCCGAGGGGGGTGGGGACACTGCCCGTGCCAGCGTGACTGTAGGTACAACAGAAACAGCCCCAGCACGAACCCCAGCTCTGCCCAGCCCCAGAAACAACAGCACCCCCCCCCGAGCTGAGGTCACCCAGGTGGGTGCCAGCCACGTCAGGGACATCCCACCAGTCATGGAGCCAGAAGGAGAGGCAGGACCCCAGTAGAGTCCCCACAACATCACTGGACCTCGCCGCAGCCCGGTGAGAGAGTGCCCAGCTGCACCCATCGTTTTATTGTGAAATGCGACAAACAGACCCTGGCCCAGGCCCCTGCCAACTGCCTCCCCGCCCTGCCGCGCCCGGCGCCCACACCCCCGTGTATATATATTTATATAAAATATCACCACAAAAAGAGCCATTAGATCCCCAGGGGCAAATGCAGGGCAGGCATGAGCCCAGACCCCCTCCCCACGGCATGGAGCAGGGTTTGCAAAGCCAAGCGAGTGTGGTGGCTGGGGGTTGCAGGAGACCCCCCTGCCCCCCCCAGATCTTTGTTCGTCCTGTTCTGTCATGCGCACAAATCCGGCTGCTCCAGAACCATCCAGCTCCTGCTGCCCACGGTGAGGAGCCAAGAGCACCTGGGGATGCGCCCAGGGCTGGTGCTGGTCCCCCTGGACTGGGGGCTGCGGCCATCCCCTCCCCTCAGCCGCCGCCCCCCGGGGGGTTGGTGTAGGTGAAGGTGCCGGTCCCCCCCCCATTGCTGCCAGCCACCTGGGGAATGAAGAGAGGGCGTCAGAGCTGGGCTGAGCCCCCTCCTCAGCCCACACCTGCTGGCAGCAGAGGGACTTCCCACACCCTCACCATGGGTCAGGTTCTCAGCCTGAAAATGGAATCCCCCCTGCATGGTGGGCAGCTGCCCCCAGGCAGCACCCACAGCCCCCACAGGCACCCCAAGCCCCCCCGAGTGCAGGAGCCCGAGGAGCTGCCGTGGCCCTCGGCATGTTCCTCTCCTCCGGTGTGATAAGCCTGACCGGCAAGAGTGAAGGTAAATATTTACCCAGGCCCCTGGTATTTGAACAGGGCGAGGGTTCGCACGGAGCCCAGCAGCTGGATACGGCCCCTGTCCCCAGGGCAGCGCGGGGGGGGACAGACAGGCGGGTCCCGCCCCCAGACCTCACATCGCTCGGGGAAGCCCGACCCTCTGCCTGCACAGGCAGGTCCTGACGCTACACCCGAAGCTCAGGCTTCAAAGCCACCCAGGTGCAGGATATGGGCTGTGGGATATGGGAATCAGCCTCCCCGCCCCCTTTGCACTACCCCAGTCCCTGCCTCAAGCCCACTCCTCATGGCAGGAGGATGCCCCGACGCTGGCAGATGTAAGAGTCCAACTGGGACACGGCTGAAGCTGAGGGGCAGCGTGGGCAGGCAGCAAGTCTGCTGCCCACCTCCCACCACCCACAGCTGGGCAGGGGGAGCAGTGTCCAAGGTTGCTGGGAGCTCCCAGGAGCCAGGCTTGGTCTGCCAGTACCAGCCACACACCCAGCGCTGCTGCTCCATCCAGGCATGAAAGTTACAGTTACCTCCTGGCCAGGACCGGCACGGGACAGGCTCCCAGGGCCACCTGTCCCCTGCCCCACTATCTCAGTTAGCCATTAACCCAGCAGTCAAGGGACCTGCCTGGCCACCTGGTTCCACCAAAAGCATCACAGTGGCCAGGACACTGGGTGCCAGCAGCCCTGGAGATGGTGGCATTCAGCTCCCACCTGGCTGTAGGGGTTGGGCTTGCTGCTGGGGGACACGTAGCGCCCATGGCTCTGGTATGGGGCATACTCGGCCATGGGGTGGTAGGAGTCCTTGGTGCTGAGCAGGTCCAGCTTCCCTCGGCTTTTTCGCCGACAGGTACAAGTGGTCTGGGGGTGAGAGGGAAGGGGTCAGATGACTGACAGCCTGAGGACACAGACAGGGGACCCACCATCAGAAGGCAGGTGACGACAGGGACAGGAATAGGGCACTCACCATCAGAAAGCAGTTGAGGATGCTCAGCAGCAGCAGGATGCACACCAGGACCAGCAGAGCAATGGCCCAGTCTGGGACCACAGGCACCGGTGCTGGGGATGTCACCTCCACAGAGCCTGAAAGAGGATCAGAGCCATGTCTGTGCTGTGGGGCTGGCTGCAACAAACAGCCCTGAGAGAACCCCAGGACAGGGTGTGAGGGGTTGAGCCCTCGTCCGTGGTGTCCAGTCATCCTGTCCACCATAGGGACTGCAGAAAGCTCTGCCAGCTGCAAATCACCCTCAGCCTGTCCCACCACCGAGGAGACTCTGTGCCCTGGCCAGGATGGGACGGACCTTGTGGAGCCCCCAAAGGCCCCCTCAGGGCTCCGTTGCCCCAGCCCACTCACTCTGGATGCTGGCCAGCTGCAGGTCCATGATGAAGCCGTTCTGGTCCAGGCTTTTCCTCAGCTGCTGCTCAGCAGCATCACTGGTGATGGTGCCATTGCCGTGCCCGAAGACGAGGATGGACTGCACCTCCACTGAGCCTCGGCTGCCGTTAGAGGAGGCGTCAGCACCCGAGACACCACCCCCTGCAAGGGGGTCTATGCTGGGACACACCGGGACGCGCTGGGACACACCAGCGCCGGCAACTGGAGCCACTCACCTGAAACGGAGCTCACTGCATCCCTTGTAGGTCTGCCAGCCCAGGCAGCTTGTGCAGCCAAAGACGTGTTCATACTGGAACAAAGCACGGGGGTGACGGCACTTCCCCGGCAGCCCCCCTCCCCCCATCACCTCGCAGGACTGGTGCTAAAGCGACTGGCAGAGCAGGTGCTCAGGGCACTTTTATGGGGAGGTGGCTCCTTGGCAGCACAGACCTGGGGATCTTTGCTACCCCACAGACAGGGCTGGAACTCACCATGGTTAGGATGGTGTGGCTCAGGCTCCTATAGTCCCTTGATGTGGGGTCACGCAGGCTCTCGTTGAAGCTCCTGTTGAGGATGCGGAAGGACAGCGGGACACGGAGGAGCAGCTGGACAGCAGTGGGGAGCAAGGCTGCGGTTTTGCTGGGGTTGGGAGCATGGCTGCTGCCCAGCACTGCTGTGAGGGTCTGCCTGGGAGCCGTGCTGCCCATCTGTGTGGGGCTGACCTGAGTGCTGCTGCTCCCGTTGCCTTTGCCACTGGAGGTGGGGATCCCTGTGACACCATCTGTGGAGGATGTGGGAACCATGGAGCTGCTATTTCTCATGCTGGGGGTGATCCAGTTGCTGCTGTTTGTGGAGGCATTGGGATAGATGACAGTGCTGTTAGGCATGGGCACAGCAGTGCTGTTTGCTGTGGCATTGCCTGCAGAGCTGTTGCTGGGCTGGAAGTTTGTGGTGTTGCCTGTGGCAGGGAAGACTGTGGAATGGGAGGGGATGGATGTTGGAGTTCTGTTGCTGCTTGTGTTTTTGGAGATTATGACGGCAATGGAGGTCGTGGGCATGGCAGTTGTCTCAGCAGTCGTCTCTGTGGCAGTCATGTCAGTGGTGGTTGTTTCTGTGGTAGTTGTGTCAGTCTCAGTGGGGAACATGTCACATGTACCTGGAGGAAACACCAGCAGTTGGCAGCTGGGACCGCAGCACCGGTTTGGGAAGGTCTTATATCAGAAAGCTTCTCAGCTGGACACTGGCCATGAGGCATTGAGAAGCACTACGACCTCCAAGAGCTGACCACCAGCAGCTTCTGCAGCTTGTGAGGTCGCAAGACTTTCAGAAACATCCCACAACCAGGGCTTGTGCTGGGCACATGTGGCAGCACCGAGGGTCCAGGTGGTGCCACCTGGGCAGCTGGCACTGGCTCCATGCCCAGCCCTGCAGATCCCCCCTGCCCCTGAGGGAAAGCAGCCACACCAGGGGGCTTGGGCACAGCCTCCCTCTCACAAAAACCCTCCTTTGGTGCATGTCCTCCTTTGGTTGTGGGGGTGCCACCCACACTCTCCCAGCCCCGCACGGCTGGATTGCTAGCCAGCACAGGGAGGGCTCCTGAGCAGTTTTCCAGCAGGTGCTGCAGGAGCTGGTGGCACTGGAGGAGAGCTGGGGTCCTGCAGCTCACCAGGACACACACCTGCACACCAGGCTGTGAGCCCTGGGCTCAGCCTGCTCTAGCCAGCCCGGCACAGCCCAGCCCTGCCCAGTCCCTTCAGACACAGCTAAGAGGGGCCACAGCAAGGTCCCTAAGTCCTGGCTTTGCTGGGGACAACCTGCACCCAGGGGCCAGACCAGGAGAGATGATGATGTCCCTGCTGCTGGGGTGCTGAGGACCACTGGCTCTGGTGTCCCCCAGTCACTGCTCAGAAAGCAGCCCAAGTGATCCTGTCCCCCTGCTCCCCTGTTCCATTGCCTCCCAGCGTGCCCAGGTCCCAGCCTGGCTCATTCCAGCTTGGGGACCCACTGGCCCCAGTCCCTCACCTGTTCCCAGCAGCAGCAGCAGAAGGGCAAATGCCATGGGGCTCATTCTGAGGGGGTCCCAGCACCTCCTGGGGCTCCACAACGACTGCTCTCCCGTTAGCCAGTGGTGCATGCCACGATCCGAGGATCAGGAACTGGTGGCTTGGCAGCGGCGGGAGCTTTATACAGCACCTGGGGCAGGTGGAGAGGCCCCACCCCACCACTGGTCCCGAGGAGGGGGGGTCCCTCCGCGCTGCTTGGCGCTGGGCACCAGGCACGCCTCGCTGATGGGGCCACCACGACATCATCCCCTTGGGCTGGGTCCCCCACACTCTACCAGAGAGGGGGGACACTGCCAGCAGCATCCCCGTGCCAGGGATGGACGCAGCCTCAGGTGGGGGGTGCAGGAAAGCAGCTGGGCAGGGGTGGGGTGCAGCAACTGCCCAGACCCATGGGCTGAGTGATGGTCCCCAGGACCGGGGGGAGAGAGGAACGCAGTCTCCCTCAGCCCCTCACTCATGTGGGAGGCCTCATCCCTCAGCTCAGCCCAGGGTTAATCATTACCTGCCAGCCACTGCCTCGCCCTACACTCAAATAAACACCGGTGATCCCCCCCTCAACTGCTTACGCAGGTGGGGCCCAGGGCCCTGTGAAATCCCGGTACCTCCCAGTAACTTCCCTGCCAGGTCCCACGGCCCCTCCTAGGGCACAAGGGCCCCCCCATCACAGCACAAGACCCCCATTCCCACTCAAGACACAGCTCCAGGTCCAGGCTGATGCCTAGTGCCGATCTGGGTGCCGATGTTCTACCTCAGAGGTACCAGGTGCGCCCCGTGCTGTGGCACAGAGCCCCCATCCTCCCCGGTGACACGTGCTCCTGGCACTGCCAGACAACGCCAGCCTTTCAGGTCCCTCCCTGCCCCTGCCCTGCAGGAAGGGCCCCAATTCCCGAAGAGGGCTTGGCAGGGGCCCCAGAGCCCAGCATCCTGCCCAGCCCCGTGAGGAGGTGAACCACCACCCAGTCGTGCTGGACGGATTCCGGGGTGTTGCTGCCAAGGGAGGAAAGAGGAGGGCACCCTCTATGCTGCAGTAACTGGGACCAAGGGATTGGTGGCCTGGGTGCTTGTCACTAGGGGTACAACGGGACACAGCTGCGCCCACTCTGCGGTCCACAGGCTCTGTGCCAGGGAAGGGGAAGGCGGGCAGCGCACGGGCAGCGAGCTCTGTGCTCATGACCTGCCCAAGGGCCCAAGGCGGTGGGGAAGGGCGAGCATGCTGACCCCTGCTGCCCTGGCCCGGGATACTGCAGCACTCCAGAGCCGCCATGTTCTGCGAACCCCGCCTCCCGGTCAACACCGGCGTGCAGCT